GATGGTGAATCAGCGTTGGGCCTAGGAATATTGGATGTTCTCCAGTGCCCTTTTTTTTTCAAAAAAAGATGCTTGTACACTACTGGTGTGACCTCGAAACGCCCCATATTGAAGGTAGGGTCTACACTGATTGGCCTGCTAAGAATGTTTGAAGTTGTAAAGCGTTTTTATATTGATAGGGATTATTAGTTATCCTCAAACACACACAAAAAAAATTAAAAATGTGAAAAAACTTTCTTTAATTGGAGAAATGAGTGTGAAACCGTAGTGCATGAGTTGTACAATTAATCGTTTAATTAATCAATTTGTTCAAACTATAGGAAAGGAAAGCCAGGACATTTACACTATTTACACGGATTCGAACCGCAAAGTGTGTCAATTCAAAGGATGTTGATAAGCTAATTATTATATTTTAGAAAGAGGTCAGGTTTAGTTGTGTACTGTTAGTGTAGGTGCGACCTCAATTCGTAAAACTATTAACATGAACTACCAACTTCGACAAACTAAACTTGGGGTGTGCCATGGCAAGTATATCTGACAAGAGTTTCTTACTGATTATCAATATCTTAGCTGACTATCAATATTAGTCTTATTCGCAGGTATTTACTGTACTTTTTTGTGTAAGCGAGCATCCTTGCGTAGCAAGGATGGAAAAAATGGCCATTTTCATTGCAGTTGGTAATTTAAAACTTTGTCCATCATCACTTGCATTCATCTGATAGTATATGCAGCTAGCGCCACTATGGATTATATTCTTCGCGATGACGTGCGCGGCCATGTTGCAGGTGGTAGACATCATTTGATGGGTCTTTGTCAAACCAACTACCCCAGATGCGTTTCTTTGATTTCTCTTTCTGGAGGCACACAATATCAGATGGACTGGACTTGGAAAAAAACAACCAAAATTTTTCTTCCTTGGTGGTGTAGATAGGCAGAACTGTACCTCCCACGGAACTGTGTATAAGGTTTTCTGCCACAGACAACAGAGCATCTTTTGTGAAGTGAATCAGGCACATAGAGCTGTGAAGTGAATCAGGCACACAGTTTTAAGTGTAGATCTTGAGGCAGAGACAAGTTAATCACTTCGACTTGATCTTCTTCTATCTTGTGACCTCTATCCACCGATAGACTGGCGACACTGCTCTCTACAATGGCAGACAAGACAGTTTTGGTCTCCTCCCTGGTTAATCCAGGCGATGGTGACGATGATGGTGACGGTAAATTATTTATATCCGATGAATCATCGCTGTCAGACTCAACCGATTCAGGCTCTTTGAACCTGAATTTGATGTTACTGGGAACATATGGTTCTGGTACCAAGTACCCAGGTATCATGAGGGTAGTCAACATGCCTCATCACGATTTCTTCGTCCCTGTCTCTAGCATACAGAAGAAGTTCACTAATGACATCACCGGCTTGTTCGGTTTGGTTTTTCTTCTTAAGATCATAAAGCTGTTGACGTGACCTTGGCAGTTGACTTGGTGTCCTCAACCCGCTAGCACCACCTGTATTTTTTACCATCTCATCGTAGAGCTTACTTGTCTCTATTTTCGTTACTTGAGTTCTTATGGCCTTGCAGTCTTGCTATTTCCATGTCCACTAACCTTGAGATGGACCTTTTCTTGGCCATCCGTTATATGGTACTGCAGCAAACAGATGTTGTTTACTATTTTCCCAGCCTTGTCGGAGAGAACAAACAAAGAGCGCACCAACAGTGGTTCAGCTTTATTCTTTCTGGAGTTAATAGTGATATGATACTGGCTTTCAGATGTTAAGGGTATCTGCCTTTTTGCGAGGATTTCGGTATTATTGCCATCGATGTCGATCGTCCACACTCCACAACGCAATACTTTATCATACACACCATTCAAGTCTGCCTTGATGTCCTCCCAGTTATCGTAGCTAAACACATCTACTAGAAAAGTTGCGTTCTCTCTTACTTTCAAGGGGTGGATCTTGCACTTATCTCCATTGCTGTGCTTCATCATCAAAGTCCTTGCCGTCTCACTGATGGTGTACCTTTCTTTTCGGCCTTTCTCGTAACTTGGAATTTTTTGGTCATTCTTCCAAAAGACTTAAAAAAGTAAGTGTTTAAACATGATATAGAGCAATTCGAAGCATAAACGAGAACGATTTGTTTCGGCAAACCTTTGTGGCTATCCTCGAATGGTTTGATTTGTCCAAATTGCCATCCACCTCCTCCTTATTTGCAGAATCCCTGAATAAAATTACAGGTAAGTTGTTGGAGTAGAACTCAAAAACAACGTATTTTTCCTATTTCAGTATTAGGTAGTTAGATATCCAACTCCCCCTGCATGTTCCAGATTTTTTGTCGATTGAAAAAAAAAAATTATTTTGAGTTAACATTTTCGTTCAAAGTGACAGAAAATATTAAACAAGTAGGTTGCAGCTGCACACATCTACAAGAGAATTGACACTTTGTTACCTTAAATCTCCTTCGTCTTCATCTAAAGATTTTGTGGTGAGGTCTATGCATTCCGCTTTTCTTTTTTTGTATCTAGAATTTATATAATCAAGAAATTAAAAAAGCTTATAAACTAAAGGTGTGTGTTGTGATGGGGTGCTTACTGCATTGCCAGCGCTATTACTTATTACGTTTATTACTCGTGCCGGCGAAGCCTGGGTACGAGTCACAAGTACGAGCATATATTACGCGCCACAGCCCGTATCATCTCCTTGACTTGACTTGTTTTCCTTTTTTTCTAAATTTCGCCGCAAATCTGAGATCAACACCGGAATCCACTGGTGATATATAAAGTTCCGCATATAACTCAATTTTTTACTTACTCCACGCAGTCTTCCTTGTCGTCTTCGCGGTCTTTCCTTTTACTTGTTTTTCGCATCGAGACACTGCTAATTTCAACACCTGTGTCACTGTTTAAAACAAAAAACAAAAAAACAACATAAACCATATTTCTTAAGATTTATTATTATTATATATTGTCTGGGTATCTTAGAACTTACTAAGTAACAGGTGCCCAACGCACTGTATGAATGACTCATAACAAGTAATCCAGCATTGAGAAAATTCTATTCGTCCCAAATATCAAATATTTATCTCAAGTTGCACTTACTCCGTAGAGCCTATATCATCTACGCCTTGATCGTCATCCCTCTTTCTTGGTTTTGCCACAAAGCTTATCTCATCATCGGTGCCACTGATGATTAAAAAACACAAAATGATGCAAAATGTAACGTTGCGCATATATTTCGAGTTTTACTCACTCGTCATATTCTTCCTCGTCTATAACTACGCAATCTTTCTTCGTCTTCTCAGATTTCTGCATTGAGACACTGCTTGTCTTAACACCAGGTCCACTGTTCAAAAATACAAAAACCCAAAAGGATGCAAAATGCATGTAAGCTTGCACGTATATTCCAGAGTTCGCTTACTCATCATTATATTCTCCATTGTCTATGACGCAATATTTCATCTTTGGTGATTTCAAGCTTAATTCAACGCCGGAAGCACTGTTCAATGAAATAACATACGAAATGATGCAAAACGCATGTAAGTTTGTATATTCCAAGTTTTACTTACTCGTTACAGTGTTCCTCATCAACTTTGCGATTGTTCGGCCTCCTTCTCGGCGATGTCGTCATGGACGAAGGCGTTGGTCAAAAACATAATATTGGGAAGTCGTGCAAAATATAGGCTGCGCGTATTTTACTTACTCGTCACATTTTTCGTTTACGCCATGTACCTTCCCTGATTTTGGTACCGAGACATGGGGGTGCTGGTGAAACAAACACACATTTACTTACACATGCGTTTTTATATTCATTAAATTCGTAATATTTCCTGCCTTTGCTATTTTGTTAGAAACTAGCATTATATTGATTTATGCTTATTAAAAGATACGAAATTACGTAAAATGTAATTCCGTATCTTTTGATAAGCGCAGAAACTATAGAAAATTACCAGGTATTTTTGGCACTACAATAGCCCTCTGAATTCTTTTAATGTGTAAAAAATTCAAAGGGTGGTTATAAATCAAATAGTTGTTGTGAGACTAACCTTTCACCCTCTCTTACAAACAAAGAAAGAGAAAAGGGTGACTCGACTTTGATGTTGGACCACCTGAGTCTTTTGAAGATCCATTCGCATACCTTCCTAGGGACGTTACCAAAGGGAAACACCGCAAGTATTCCGCCTCCCCGTCCACCAAGCTCCGTGCCGATTCTGTGCGTGTCCATTATAATAAAATGGCCTGTCACACAGCCAATTGTAAATACGTACTTTTCACATGTGAATATACTGGATTTCAAACTGGTGGAGCTGTACATGCCTTGTAGGGCATCCATCAACAAGGCTCGCCCGCGCGCAGAATAAACAGAAGCATCGCTTATAACCTCATCTGTCAGAGTGTAATTACATTGTACAATGTTGGCGCGTTTTAGCAACTTGTAGTCCTCCATTGCATCATAGTGAGACCCTTTATGGCGATATTTGTTGATTATTGCTGGCATTGAAGATATTACGTTATCAGCAATTGTTGCTATTCTCTTCCACGTTTCAGGTGCTGATGGTTGTTGGCCTTGTATCATAAGATTATGTGAAAAACTAAATGACAAGAATGCACAACTGTTGGTAGCGTCGTTTCTCATATTTCCACTCTCTATTGCACTGTTTTGACTTTTCTTCAGAGGAATGGAATGGCAGTCAATCTCGTTCAGTGCTCCCATCAATTTCTCGACTGCCTGCGCTGATGGCCTTTCTTGTGGATCGAAATTGGTGCACACATCATACGCTTCGTCAATTCTTGACCAATCGGTTGATTGGCGAAGCATATATTTCTCCGAGTATTGTGGCTTTTTATTCTCAGAATGCATATTTTTGAGATACTCAAAGGCTTCCCCTTTGGGTGCATTTTCCAAATCCAGCTCGTACGGATGACGGAGATCTGGATTAACCAGAACAAAGAAAACCATTCCCAGGGCCCATATATCAATTGACTTTAGGTCTGATATCGTCAATTTAGGCTTGGCTCCTGAGAACAGCTCCGGTGCTCGGTAAACTGGGGTACCACGCTTTATGTTGGTTGTTGCCGTCCTCAGTACGTCCGCTGTTTGGTGGATACGGGATAATTGGCTCCTCTACGTATTTTTGCTGTTGGCGTCTTCCTTTTAAGTTGCAATAATGCTGATTAGAGACAGGCACATTAGCGGGCTTAATGTCACGATGGACAATGTCACGCGTGTGGAGATAATTTACACCATCAGCAATATCTTTTGCAATTTTTGTAGAAAACGAAATTTCGTCAATCAGACTACTTTGATCCACGTACTTCAGGAATTTATCTAGACTGTTGACAGATTCATTGCCTCCAAATGGCCTAAAGTCAAAGCGCAGGTACTCCAGCATAAGAGCGCATGGGGATAAACAAATACCTTCCAGTTTGACGATAAAACTGCTTTTGATCTCATGAAGAAGACGCGCCTCCTTCACAATGATATCTTTCTCCGATTTGTCTTCACTGAGAAGCTTTTTGATGACGACTTTTTGTCCCTTGTGCTCACATAGTGACACGGCACCGAACGAACCCTGGCCTATTGACATCCCATGTTCGATGTCACCCCAAGAAAATCTCGGAAATTCCTTTCCCAATAAATGGTTATACTCGATTTCGTCGCTATTCTGATTAGTCATTGAGACTGGCATCTTAGGAATAGAGGGAAGTTTAAATGCAGACATGGCTCATCGACTCCTACACCTCTATTACAATACAAGTTCACTCGAGAAAATTGTGCAATCATTTGAGTACAAAAAGGAGTAGACACGTGTTTTGCTATTTTGCAATTTTTATCAGGAGTAGGTACTAATTGCATTTATTAAATGCAATGTCTAGCACTTGACCTCTGGCTTGTCAGAGAGAGCGATACATGAGGGCGATACATAAATGATAAAATTGCAAAATTAAAAAAAGGATGGAGTTGTTTCCACAATTTAAGCGATGTTTTTAGTAAACTTCTGAATTGTTTGTGTTTTAATGATAAGAGCATTACACATTAGTGAAGGTCAAAGGAGCACGATCAATTAAAATAAGAGACAAATGATTGACAGGCGCGATACTAACAGTCTAGTAATAATTGTTGCTGTAGCATTAATTTAGATCAACAGAAATGTTAGAAAGACTGCACATAATTTAGACCTTTCACCCTGCATGGTTATAAAATTATAAAATCCGATCTATTTTTCAAATGTCAGCTTTTCTCTTTATGATTGACAGTTTAAATGCTAAGTAATTTCTCTGTTAGTGTGTATGAACGCCTCACAAACTTATGTAAACACAACTAGACGCATAGCTGCGTGAACTCGGGGTTCTGCTTGAATATATCATAAAACGATGAAGTGACAACAATGAGTGTTGTAGTCGAAGAATTGAGAAGAATTGGACTATATTGAACCTTAATAAAGTTTTAACTATTAAAATAGTCATACTATCAAAAGGCGTAAAGCAAAAAATACTTCCTGGAATAAAAAATAATAAAAAAACAATGTACTCAGCATAAATATCATGAAAAAATTGATCATCAGCAAGCCGGTCTTTGATAGTCACATGACAGGCTGTAAACACAGAGTCTCAGAGTTTTATCTTCTCCGCTCTTCCATTCGTCGGCTTTTCCTCAGAAGAATCTGTTCGCATTCCTTAGACGAGACCTTAGTAGTTTCAGAGCCTGCATAA